AACATAAGGACATGTTCTGTGAAGACCAGAGAGGTTAAAAGGTCTCCTGAGGAATCTCAGTCTGGTTCTTGTCCTCTAGGTGGGGGGGAAGTCAATCAAAAGAGCTCGTGATCGTGATTACTATCATGGATTTACATGTGATGGTCATGCTCTCTTTGACCATCAATCTTGCTTACTTGCCCTAAAATTGACAATCTCCTTCCTGATTTGTTCTTTTGTGTTAATGTTGCAAGCTGTTCTGTGAAAGAGTTGGTTGGTTAGGCTTGCTTCAGACTAGCTGGCGCTAGGATCTGATTTACGAACATCCTGTCATCTTGGGCCTTTCTGTGGAATTCGGCTCCTCGTGTTTCAACCATGTTCTTGATCGAATCTTAAATTGGCTGATTTGGTCTGATACCCTACAGTAGTCATCATCAAAAACTGAAAAAGTCATAAAATCATTGGTCAAAGTGTGCTGAAACCCTGAAAACGGATCCTAAATGTCATTGATTCCTGTTTAAAGATATTATAGTTTCTTAACTGATTAACTGACTTTCACAGTTTTTGGCTCTACAAGACCTGGCTCTGTTATCACAACATTCTCTCTCACGCAGACTAGAAGTCTTCAGTCTGAGTCAGCCAGGTACAAACTAAATTTAAATTGTCTGATTCGGTCTGATACCCTACATTATCATTCATGTTTATTTTTTATTTAACTTTTTAGTTAAACTGATTTTTTAATAGTAATTATTTAGACTTTTCGACCCCTCTGTATATTTTAAAAAAGAATGCAGGATTTAGTAAAGCAGGACTTGGAACCAATGAGATTTCACTGTGGGTGGAACTAACCAGTTTGATGTGACAAAAATAGGCACCCAAAATGTCTTGACACTGTTGACAGTCATGGCTGGATGGGAGACAAACTCCTATTAGCATTAAAGATGACACAGAGTCAACATCTTTGCTAATAACCACTAATGCCACATGAATTGAAGACGTTAACATTTAACACAAATACTTAATATGTATAAATGCTTATTAATGTAATCAGGATGTGTGAAAAGCAAGGTTAAAATGTCATCAGTCAGGATAGTATGGGTTTTTTTTCTTAGTGTAAATTACCACAAAAGTTGTGCCGCAAAGCCAATCTACGCTGTTCTCAATATTTGTACCACATACTTATTTGCCAATTCAAGCCCACACACAGACGTACACACACTTGAAAGTGAAATGAAGAAAAAGAGAGGGACACAGAGAGAGAAAAGAAAGAAAGAGCACTCCCACTTCCTTAATGATTTAATAATAGCACTCCTTCAAATCTAGGCTTGCATGTTCCTGCAAATCCTTCTGCACTAATGGATCTCCACGTCTTCATACAATAGCATCTGACAGTGCTAGATATTCATTATGTATGGACCATTTGAATAGCTTTTACCAGTGGTGCTGTTTTCCATGTAGGCCCCCCTCTTTCTGCCCGTTAGGAACAATGCAGAGGAGGATTGTACACGCCAACACGCCAGAGATTACGCTGGTGGTAATGGCCCACTTGGTTGAGGATATGATCCTCCCGGGGGCAGGGTTGGAGATGAGGCAGAGGAGTTTGCTGTACGTGCCTGAGGCAACCATTTTAGGACCACTTTTCTAG